TTTTCTAACGCAACAAACACATGCACCAAAAATTAAACAAAGAAACACTTAAATTTTTCTCAAATCAACTGACTGTTCACTCAAAAAATACTTATTTACTAAAGAAAAAACATTGATCACGATTTGTGAATACGATAACAACTACACCATGTCCTCTCACCTCCGCAAAACAAAGCGGAATAAAATAAACTCGCTCGACGAGCTGACATCTCGTGAGCTACAACGGCTAACAAAGTAATTCGATTGACATCTAGCGGATTTAAACCGTACTAATTAATAAACATTTATCGCTTGCTATACTTAAATCTTTAATTGGTATTATTTTTTAATACAATACGAACTCGTAGATAAGGATTTCGTAACTAACTTCTAAAGCTTTTTTTTTTTAAATAATGTCTTTTTGAAAAAACAAAGTTATAATCTGTCGCGCGCCGTCAAATTAAATTACATCAACGTCAACTGTCAAAGTCAAACAGACATCAGCTGTGTGACAAATGTGTATTGCGCCTACTGTTTGTTTTATTTTATTTTGCAATAAAATTCTCGGGTGACGTATTTATTTGTAAAGTATCCTGTAGTAATGTAAAAAGTGTGTTAGTGTAATTATCTTTCTACAGACTTATGAAGTATATTGTGGACTCGTCTTTTCGTAGTTGAGTCATTAATTAAAAGTAATTTCATTCGTTCTCAAGGCCGTATCAATAATCGTATTAGTGAAGTATTATGAGAAATACTAAACATAATGGTAGAGGATAATGAACGTGATTATGGAAGGAGCGCAAATAAGAATGTTCTATTAAAAATTGTGATTTTGGGAGATGGAGGGGTGGGGAAGTCCTGTCTCATGAGCAGATTCATCTCAAATCATTTTGACGATCATAATTTTCACACGATCGGTGTAGAATTTATGAATAAGACGACAGAAGTAAATGGCACACAGTACACATTACAGGTATGTTGGGATTTTATTATATTTTTCAGGACAGACAACCTAAAACATTTCATGCATCTAGATCTCTTAGTAATAGAGACAAACTTTATATTATTAATAATTAATAGAGTTTTATTACTAACTAGCTGTTGCCCGCGACTTTGTCCGCGTGGTGTTAGATAACAGATAAAGTATGTAAATAACAAAAAACTATGTGTCTCTTGGGAACCGGATGTTTTTCGGGTATGTGTACTTCAGACTTTGTTTTATATCTATGCCAAATTTCAATTAGATATGTTGAACCATTGCAGAATTATCAAGTATACATTAAAATACAAAATTGATGCATTCCACTGAAACCGTAACTATTTCCGGGATAAAAAGTAGCCTATGTGTTCTTCCAGACTATGCTTTACCTGTGTGCTGAGTTTCATGGAGATCCGTTCAGCCATTTAGGCTACAAACGCTAACAAACATCCATCTAAACTTTCACATTTATACTATTAGTAAGATGTAATATGTGTTACCTTCAAACTAATTACCAACTTCTAAAACAGACTAACATTTAAGCTTAAACAAATATAAGAACAAGATATTCAGTTTCAAGGTTGATTTATCTGTGTATGCATAAATAATTGTTAATAACAGATAAAATATTTTCCTTATTTTATCTTATCTTATATTTTGGCGGTCTTTGATTGTATTTATTTACACTAAAATTGCAGTTTGCCACAGTAATTATTATTATTTTTTTCTCATAAGGTGTATTAAGATTTTATAGAGATTGCGTAGATGTATAATAGGAGTAGTTTTGTCATGATTTTCCTCAAATTGAGAGGTGTGCCAAGACTTAAGATGGAAATCCATAATCCTTGCTTACATTGATTTTATAGGTGTTATTTTTATCATAGGGTTAGGGTTTAGGGTTAAAATGTTTTTTCAGATACATAGAAAAAATATTAAGTATTTTAAACATACAAAAATGTAATTAGACATAACCTTGGTATTTCCATAAATAGATAATGACCTAGTCTAAAATTGAGCTATCTCACCTTAGCATTTCAATATAGCTATCCAAGGTAACAACTATTACAATGCCATTCAATGTTAATTCATGTCCAATTCTTATTGTTTGGTTCAAATACAAGTACAATGGAAACTGATCAATATAGCATTGGTTAAAATAATGTATTTATGGTAACAAAAAATGTAAACTGTATTAAAGGATTTGTATAAAAAAAAAAAATTAAATCCATAGATTATTATTAAAATTATACAGTTTGTCATTCTTCTTAGTGATTTCCTGTTAGAATATTTACATGTAAATCCCCTTGTTATTATACTGGATTGCTAATGTGTCTTGTTGTTTTCAAGATTTCCGCTTTTTGTTATAAATCAAAAACATATCTTTATCTTCAAAGTTCATTCACAGGCTGTCACAAATATTGACCAATACCAGCCAAGAATAATCATTTAGCATTGCAAAGTTACATATTGTCAATGTTTTCTTATACTTTGACTGGGAATATAAAAACTCTTACTTATGTGGAAAAAAATCAAACAAAAAAATGGGACCCACCTGCAAGCATTACCTTTCGGATAAAAAAAGAATTATCAAAATCGGTCCACTAGCGGCAGAGTTATGCCGTAACACACATAAAAAAAAAATAAAAAACATATATCGACGAATTGAGTACCTCCTTCTTTTGGGAAGTCGGTCAAAAATAGAAAGTGATTTAATAGGAAATTTTATTGAACCATGGGCCAGAAAATATATTCTTGATTGGACTACACATCACATAATGTGTAAACTTGTAATCATTAGAAATCATATGACAGACCATACATAATGTTATGTACATTAATTTCATAATGCACATGCGAGAGTAACAAACTCTCCACACTTTGTACAGTTGTAATAGAAAATATCATTAAGAATAGAAATTTCAAACTAAATCTATTTACCTTACACTAAATTTGCTTTATTCTAGAATTAATATGGTTTAATACATAAAAATCATACTGGAAATCATTATGTTAAGCTTATTTGAACATTTAAAAATTCACCTAATAAGAGTCAAATGTGTGAAACAAAGGAATATATAAGCCTCAGCTAAAGCAGAGTTACTAAAGTAATCGCTGAATCTCTTAAATATTGACACACAGCTCTATGAAAGTAGAACAATGAAGTGAGACAGATAGATCAGTTTTTCTAGTATTGTTATCTCTCTCACACATTTGTGTACATAATAAGATCAAAGTATTTTTTAGATATGGGACACAGCGGGCCAGGAGAGATTCAAGTCGCTACGTACGCCGTTCTACCGCGGAACAGATATCTGCATCCTGGCATACGCTATAGACGACCGCAGTTCCTTCCAAAACATAAAGATGTGGCTCAATGAGTTTTTACATTACGCAGGTGTTAAGAATGGCATTGAGAAGTTTCCGTTCATCGTTGTAGGGAACAAGGTATTTGTTATACAAATTTATTGCTCTAAAATACCATTTTTTAATGTTGAAACACCTCTAGAAGTTTATTTGACTAAGCTATAGTTTCATTAGTACAGTAATTTTATGACAATTTAATATTTTTGAATTATAAAGTGTTTTTTTATTAATTAATGTTCCTGGTTTTCCTGTTTTCAGTCAGACGTATCGTCAAAGGACAGGGAAGTATCGTACGATCAACTCCGGCAGTGGTGCGAAGATAATAAAATAGGCACATACATAGAAACCTCCGCTAAGACTGCCAGTAATGTGGTCGAAGCATTCTCCATGGCTGTGCAAAGGTAATACGATTAATATCAAAACCTTTATGCTAATACCATTTTTTTCGTATGAAAAACATCCCTCCAAGCTATTCTTTGGCATTTTATCTGTTCGAAATTATTATTGCAAAGGTATTTCTAACTGTATTTCTGTTAATAAAACTAGAGTATTAATCCAACTAGAAAACGTGACTACGTGTCTATTATAATGTTATGGATGTTTAAGAAATATTTGTTAAAGCCATTGTGTTGGCGTGTCTAAATAAATGTGGAAAATTATTGTAATGAAAAACTTTTGCTAATTAGCACATACCATTGAAGGATTGAGAAAAACCCCATCTATTGAGGGAAAAAATAGTGTTGTTTAACTTTTTTTTTTTGTGTATCATTAATTACGTGGTTCTTATGTCGTTATGTATAAAGTACCTTTTCCTAGATGGGCAGATCTCGAACAGAAAGCAGAGAAGGAATTGAGAATGTTACACCATCCTGATACAGTGACGTTACAGGGTGGTAACACTATGTCAGGTCTCCGTGCCACATGCTGTTCCCGTTTTAGCAACGTATGAGGCACGTACACTGCAGTTGACAATATCACAGTTTTTGTAAATTGAACAATTGTATAAGTATTGGTTCAAAATCAACACAAAAACAGCGAAATACAGAAGCAGTTTTTCATGGGTAAGGGGTATATAATAAGTGAACATTCTTTTTTTCATAGAAAAAAATGCAGCAGATCTGATTGAACTTCCGTCCTTACAACGGCTTAAATCAGTCGATCAATAGATATAATTTCTACTAATAAGCCTAACACATTCAGGATAATTTATATTAAACGGCTAGCTACGGCAACTAAAAAGGCTGGCAAACGACCCGGTTTTGATCTATAGATAGAAAATCACATTTATTTCTTAGAAGACTTTTCTTAGCAATGAAATCGGTATAGTACTAAATTGTAGAGAAAAGAAATAGCATATTTTCTATACATTGTTTTGTTGTAATTTGCTAACTCTGACCACTCCATTTATCATGGTCGTGATAGTACGACTTGATAGATTAATTGGGAACACATTGCTATATTTGAATAAAAAATATTATGTACTTTTTATTGGTTGTGAAGTATTGAATGACGATATTTGAATTGCTAATGATTGATTTTGATTTGACTATATCTATTTTTCTTACTATTTTGTTTAGTGGTATATTAATCTACCTCTTCCAGTTTAACATTCCAAATATTTCACAGTTAAAATCATGTAAATTTTAAATTGTTTATTGAAGCAAAAAATATCAAAAAATTAAATTTTTTAACTTGATTTTTTTAAATGTACTAGATTATTTAAGTATTGTATATGTTTATAGGATTCAAATATTTTAGGTTATGTTACCAATTTTAAATATTACCAACACTACCAAAGAGGTATTTATTATGTGATATAATTTATGAGTTTCATTTCGTTTTTTGGTGTTATATTGATGTTACATAAGCTATGTATTATTTGAAATTGACTTTATCTGTGCTTAAAAATCAAGTAGATTAAAAAATTAACTCTGGACCTTAAGTCATATCATATATTATTATTGTTATTTCTTATTTTATTCTTTACATATCTAAAGATTGATATATTTTTCTGATTACTTTTCTAGGACCTACGGCCTCCAATAACATCTATTTGTTTATTATGTAAAAATAGTTCTTATCAATAATTATTATTATTGTAAATTCGATTGATGTATACGTTTCAAATAACAATATGTACCTAAATGACCTTAATGTCAATTAAAGTAAAATTATTTGTAGTACTTTTTTAAAAACTTCTGAAACTCTACGACTTTGTAGCGGTCGTTACACATTTTTATTATATTGAAGCAACAAGACAAACGGTACATCATACTAAGTGCCTATTAATTTTATTTCATGACTAGATATTGTAGATCACAGATTAAAAATGTAGATAATAATAAAATCTGCGGTTTATCAATTTTAACTATATTTCACGCTTTCATCAATTCATTTTACGCTAGTAAAATGTAAGTAGTTAGCACTTTTATTAACCTTAAACTTTCAATGACGTAGTATATTGTTGTCTCTTTTGTTTTCATAGAGAGTGAAAAAGATGTCAATATTTAAGATTTCATGTAATTCGGTAGATACTGTTGTATGTATATATTATATGTTCACGCTATGACTGTACAGGGGGACCAGATGGTGGTACCTCAATAGGCGATAAAATTGTGTTACATTGTATATAAATCATGTTTTGTTCTGCAAATGCTTTATATTTTTTAAATTAAATATATTGAAATAATAGTGTCATTTCATTTAAAAAAAATACCTCAATCTCCCTTAAAGTAAAGGGGAAAATATACAAGGCAGTAAAAGACGGATGAAAGGGGACTACATGTGACAGAAATGAGTATGTTAAGATGGATGTGTGGTAACACGAATGGATAAGATACGAAATGAGTATATTAGAAGATGTTTGAAAGTAGCCCCAGAGGAAGAGAAGATAAGGAGTAAAAGGTTAGCATGGTATGGGCATGTTATGAGGATAGATAGAGTAAGAGCTGGATGGATTGCGTGAAAGGTGACATGATCAAGAAGGGAGTGATGACTGAGATGACGTATGATAGAGATATTTGGAGGACAAAAACCTGTTGCGCCGACTCTACGGGAGTGGGATAAGGAGGATGATGAATATTGTTATTTCATTTTAATAAAACAAAAATCATCCCAAATATATTTATTAATAAAAACAACTATTTTACTCAATATACTGAAGCATATTACAACCTCTTTACATTCTTAAATTAAATCACTGAACTTGAATTTATTATTATTTATTGCTTATCGTTTTCACATAAAATATATCATTTACATTGCGATATGCATATTATTAACTTAAATTATTATATTATTGTGCAATAATGCATAGTTTTTATTATGTTGTAATAAAAATACCTTTGGATGCCAAATTTTTTGAAAGAAACATTCCTTAAATGGCACAATAAAATATACAACAAACCTAAATAACGTTATCTTTAAACCATTTTTAATATCAAAGTGTTCTTTGTCTTCAGAATGTTAGGTTTCTTAAATATACTTGTTTCATGAATTATTCGAGACTAAATATATTGCATATAAATATGATAATTTAAATAATTAGGACATACCTTAACCATTCTATTACTACCATTTCACTGTATACAATATAAATTAATAATTAACAGAACATACACACAAACCTCGCCCATTTTTTATACATTGTAACCTTCAAAAGAAACAAGTATTTTAAATTGTCATATCAACAAATTTATAAAATTTCGATTTTAAATTATTTAAAATTTTGTGAGACATTATTATAGCTACTTTTCATCCGCGACTCCATCCGCGTTGTATTAAAAAAAAAAACAAAAATAAATGTAGCCTACATGTTCTTCCAGACCATTCCGTACATTCATGCCAAATTTCATTGGAATCCATCAAGCAGTTTAGGCTAAAAACTCTAACATTCATCCATCCATCAAAACTATCGCATTTATAATATTAGTAAGAAGTTAGATTATTTAACGGCTATAACTCACGTTATTCCGGTGGCGGCACCGATTATTTTCGGACCCTTCAAGCGTCCATCTTCAATGATTAATGTTAACAACATCAACATTTAGTTCGACATCATCAGTAACGCTGACCTTGAAGATGGACCCCCAAAGGGTCCGAAAGTAGGTGCCGCCAACGGAAAAGTAGACGTGAGTTATAGCCGTTAAATAATCATACTAATATTATAAATGCGAAAGTTTAGATGGATGGATGTTTGTTAGAGTTTGTAGCCTAAACGGTTGAACGGATCTCCATAAAATTTGACATAAACGTTAATGATAGTCTGGAAGAACACATAGGCTACTCACTTTTATTTTTTTAATGCCACGCGGACATCCAACACATCCTTATAGCAAATTGTGTGTGTATATTTTCTGGACCATTACACTGTATACCAACCATCATGTTTGAATATTAAACAAACATCGTACTCTAACTGCAACTTTACACAATACTTCAAATAACAATTACAATGGTTTCCTCGCTTTGACAAGTTCCTCGCTGATGTTCCACAGTTTGATTTCCTCTTCCTTTTTGAATGGAAACTTCGAGTCGTATTCGACGCAGTCGCGGTAGAACTTTCCAGTTTGACCTTCTATGCCATAGTCCGTCGCGCAGTATACTATCGTCTCTGAACCCTTAAATTGCAGAAACAATAAGCACATAGATAAAAGGTATAGTAACTAACATAGATTATGTATTATTTAACCACTAGCTTTTGCCTGCGATAAGATCCGCGTGATTTTTTTAGAAAAATGTAGCTTATGTGTTCTTCTAGACTATTCTCTACATCTATCCTTTTATTGAGATCTGTTTAATAGTTTATTCTACAAACTCTAACCGAGATTATAATATTAGTAAGATTAAAGCTTGAGAATATGGGTTATATTAATTGATTGGGGAACAGTCAGGATTTGAACCTACAACTATTTTGATATTTATCATCATTGGTTCTTCATCAATAGTAGACTTTAACACCTGTAATCTAATTCTTGCGCTGCCATCATCTTATTACAATTTTCACGAAAAACACAATCTTTGATAAGATAATGTGGATATAGTTGTAAAGATAGCATAATGCATGATCTTATTACTTTAATGTTGATCAGTTTAAGCCAACATTGGCTAATCTATGATGTATTTACTAATTATAATCTATGACATGACATCATAGATTATAAATACATGAGAAACAAAATATATTCGTCTAGACAAATAAAACATGAGTAATACTTTTGGCAATAATTAGATGAGATTCAAACTTCTTATTTCTTACTTGTACTTATTTATTTTTAATATTATATAGCTGTTTTACTTTAATTTCAAGTGGTTTTTAATGTTAATGAAGAAGTTTATGACACAAGAACAACATATTGTATTACATTGTATCCTAAAGATATAGTAAGATAATATATTTCCTCAGTCTAAAGTACATACAGAATCATTTAAGTGATGTAAATAGATATGATATCTAACAAACATATTAATCACATTCTTATTTTAAATTATAAAATAGAATACTAAAGAATCTTATATGATGTCGATAAAATCACCAAGCCTTTATCCCACTAAAATACTGGTTATTTACACAAAAATAACCCTCAAAATAGCATATATATTAAAAAGATACCTGTTTCGCAGACTTCATGTACATTAATGCTACTGGTAACATTAATAAATAATGATACCACTTTACTGATAACCTGAAATAAAAAAGTTAAATCATAGATAGGTATTGAAGTTGTTTTATAAATTGTCTAATTTTCGTTGAAACAAGGCATGAATAATTTTCGAAAGATGGTTTATTAAGATATCCATATATTCTTATTCTCTATATAATTCATTTTATAAGATATCCATTATTATAAAGTTATGAATTTAATTATGAACATTTTAATTGATATTTACTAATATTAAAACAACTGAACAGTCTTTGCCTCATGCTGATATATGAATACTTGAATATTCAAAGATTAGTTCTTTGTACTATTTTTGGTAGTGATGTGTCAAAGAGATAACTTTGTTTTCTTTTTATGGTAGATGGTGACAAAATGTGGTTTTATTTTAGTAAAAAGCATGCAATCATAATTTTCGTAAACTTATACTGCCCATAGACACATCGCCAACAAGTAATAGATACATTGAATTTTAATGGACAGAGGACAGTAGATACTGAAAGGGTGATATTTACTCTTTACTCTAAGTCCCCTCCTCTTCTGATCTTGATAATTAAATAGGAAGGAATAATTGACTAGAATTTGGCTTCCTTTCAAAATGTATACAAAATAATTACCTGAACAGATTGGTGTAACAGAATCCCGGGCAGCAAGTATACACATCAACTCCAGTATCCCGCAGTTTGTCAGCCAATGCTCTCGCAAAGTAGACATTCATTAGTTTAGAATTGGAATACCCCAAGTTGTGTCGCGCCTTCACTTGTCCCTTCTTTGCTCTCTCAATCTCACCTCTCAAGTTCAAATCATTAAAATCAATTTGTGCCCTTTCGTGAAGTGTAGATGATACCACCACAACTCTGAAAAATAACTAGTTATAACAATAGTTTGTACAAAAATGTCAAAAACAGTTATAATTACCCTAAGACTTTTAACATTAATATACAAAATTGTCTGTCGATAGTTTCAAAGGTGGAAGATAGAAGAAAGTATGGGTAGATTGTGTGCGAGAAGATATGCTTAAGAAGGGAAATTAAGACATAACGGTTGACAGAGATGTATGGATGAGCAGTACTATGCTTCTTTAGGGTCAAGGGAATGTTGAAGATGAATATTGTATCTATTTAATTGTTTCCATACCTGCTGGGTGCAGCTCTCTTTAATTGATCTAACAATAAATTAGTTAGATAGAAATGTCCTAAGTGATTCACACCCAAGTGTATCTCAAAGCCTTCTTTAGTTTTCTCATCACAGCTAAGTGGTACCACCACTCCAGCATTGTTAATGAGTACATCAATCTTATGGAAACCAGTTTTGATCACTTCGACAAAGCTCTCAATTGATTCAAAGGAAGAAAGATCCAATTGCATTGGGATCTGCGAGAAAAAAATAGTTAACAAAGGTTGGTTGAATAAAGCAGCAAACTATTATTTAAAAAGACCTTAGAAAATTAAGTTAGTAGTCATAAGTTCTTACCATTTCTCCTCCTGTGGGTTGTTCTTTTCTTATATCGTTTATTGCCTGTTTTGCCTTAGCAATGTCACGACAGGCAAATATAACTCTTGCCTTTCGTCTTACAAGAGCCTTAGCGGTTTCCAGCCCTATACCACTATTTGCGCCGGTAACAAGATAAGTTTTACCCCTCAAGCAGGTATCGGTTAAGCATTTTCCCCATTTCCGTGACCTCCACTTGCGTATAAAACCGATAGCAATTAACACGGATATTGGTACTGCAGCATATATTGCCTGGGCTGGTACCATTTTTAAGTTGAGTTAAGTAGACTTGATTATCGCTTGTAAGTAAATTACGAAACTACTGCTACGTAATATCAACAGACAAAAATAAAAGATTTGAAATTGCACTTCGACCGGCCACAGCCAATGGAAAAAACTTTAAATGACATTGACATTTTAAAACGTCAGATGACATTTGACATTTAACGTCATAGGTCAGTGTTATCAATTCGTTCGTAATCAATGTGTGCCATAGACAATATTTTAAAGTTTCTGAACGCAACTAAAAATTACATTGTATTTTTGGAAACTGTGTTCCCTACAATTTGCAACGTCACAGTAATTTTATTTGATTACTGTTTCATTAAAACTATGTGGCTCTTTGGCAAAAGGCCACAAAGTGCATGTACCACTTTGTAATCACAGTGTAGACTTGTAAGAGTTTGCGGTAAATAATAGCCAAAATTAAATTGCTTGGTTATTTATTTTGAATTTGTTACAGGGAGAGCTAGATAAAAAAAATCTGTATTCCAGACTACGAAAACGATATGGTAACATCTTACATAAATACAATAATATTAGAGGACATCCTAGATATATAACTTCATTTTTAGAATTTCCAGTTGTCAATACATTAAGGAAATAATGCAGTACAGCAATAAAATTGTTCTAAATTGTCTTTTGAGCAGTTTCTATTGAATACTTGTAATTATACAGATGTTTTTGTAACTTTTTGCACAAAAATGGCCTAATCTTACCATGATATTAGGTACATAATGGTATTGTAGATCTAATAAAAATATTTTTTATACTTTAGCTAAAGAAGTCTTACATGTAGCCAACAGTTACTAGTTTATAATCGATAAAGTTATCAAAATATAGTAAACAGAATCACAATAACAGTTACTATTTCTATAGATTTGGTATTAATTACGTAGTACAAAGCATTTATGTTAAATAGCAATTTTTAATTTTAAAATATGTATGATACACGTGGAATAAACATCTATTGACTAATATAGTAACAGTATTTAAATTCATTCAATATTAGAAAACGTAATTTATCAAATTTGTTAATGTAAAGGCAATTAATATCACTAGGAAAGTATTAAACTATAAAATTTCAAATCAGAAATATTAAAAAAAAATCAACCAGTCTGTAATATAAAGAAGATATAAATGCGTATTTTTGTCTTTCACTGTTCATCGTCTTTAACAACATAAACACTAATAATCAGGAAATTATTGTTTTATAAGTTGAATAAGTAAACTAATATTTCAAATTATCCTATTTTAGTTATAAAAATTCAATTGGCACCATTAGTCGAACTATAAATATACAGAATTTTGTGCCACATTGCCCGAATCAAGTGGATTGTAGGATTGCCAGATTTTTTTATGTTTCAGTTCATATAAAATTGATAGAAACTCGATTATTCAATTGCTACCTTGCCATGTAATTATTTCCTCCGACGTTTTTTTTTACTAATATTTTTTTTATCTGGCAACAATTTGACAAATCTGGCAACCCTATAATTGCATTGGCAACTGCATTTGCTTTTATTAATCCACATTATTTACACTTTTAATAATTTGCGAATTGAAAAATAAACTAAGCTTCCACATCGATTTATATAAAATCAAAATGTATTTCTATTAGTACTTAATTTCCAGTTAATTATATAGAAAAATAAACCTAAATGAAATGCTGAAACTAACTACTTTTAACTTATTTAAATGTCAACAATTTTTGGTAAATAAATAAAAATTGAAATCAACTCTATTTCACAATTCAAATATATTCTATCTTTTAATAAATAATGTGTACATAATCACAACTTTTTATAATTGTTTTAACTACGTTTCTGAACGAATTGTACATGTTAATTAATTAAAAAATATTTTAGCGATTTTAGCATATTTAAAACTCAGATTTAATTAAATTAAAAATTTCACATATATTCTTACCCATATGTAGTTTTAGTAATTGTTTATTTACTTTAAACCATTCCATCATCATTTAAAACTTAAATTTATGTAAGTACTTAGTATACATGTTCACAAACTATATAAAATTAAACACAAATCGGAATGAAAAATTATCAACACTATCTATTTTTAACATCACCATAGCAACATTTAGTATAAAGGAGATTCATTATCAAAGATTTATGAAGTAAATTTTTTAATTTAAGCGATATATTTATAGACCTATGGAATGTTAAGAATGAAATGACGAAACATCAATTAACAAGCCATGATCGATTTAAAAGCTCTCATAAAAGTACATAAGCTTTTTTGTAAGAAATAATTGTTACATAGTTTCGAAGCATCGTTTATTATTATCCAATACGTACTCTAATTTACAAAGCTTCACATGGGAGTCGATATCTGATGCCGAGAGCGGTCCAAGCCGACGTCCACCGTCACGACCTTGCCGTCCACTGGTGTCCCGCTGTCTGCCT